CATACTTAGGTGTGAATGTTTATTTAATTTGTAAGTAGGTAGAGACCGGAGAAGTCGCGCGATTGTAATTTCAACTCAGGAGTGGACAATTTCTTCTCCGGATATTATACAAAGTTTCAGCAACCTTTAGATTCATTTATCATTTAAATATTTCTTTTACTTTTTCCATATATTGCTGATACTCTGTACCGCGAGATATAAATCAGTATCGAACGATTCAAAAGTCTTTGCGTTTTCTTAAAAATTAATTTTTTTTTCGAAAAAGTGAAGATAACTGAATACGTTGGATACTTACTTAATATTAAGTATATTAACGCTTTGCTCTTTAGTAATTTCTACTGAAAATACTTCATTTTTTATATATGTATAGTAAATACAAAGTAGAATAAAGATTAAAGATAAAAGTGGTCGAGTAAAAAAGTAAGACCACAAGATGTATTACAAAGTTTCTGCTTTTGTTTGATATTATTTAATTTTTTAAATGCAAAGTGTTAATAATAGGTTCATCGATTAGATTAAATATCTGTTGAGGCATTCGAGTAAATGTTAAAAAAAGCCTCACAGCAGTGTTTAGGGCATGAAGAAGGAAGAGGCTAAATGCCGAAGAGGCTAAATGCTGAAGAGGCTAATGCCGAAGAGGCCCCCACAAATTTGTGGTATCAAGTGGGCAACTATTAGACTATTGATTTATTTTCAAAGGTTCAATAGCAAGTTAGAACTTTTCGAGAATAGCTCTCTAGTCATATTTTATTATATTACTGTTTTGCTCGTCATTAATTTGTAGTTGTAATTGGAGATGATGGACCATTCCATCTCCTTGGGACACCAAATTTGTGTCCCTCAAAATCGTCAAAAAGATGCATATGTGTTAGTTAGAGTCAAAAATATTAAAATTTTCGTATTATTAAATTTTCAAGCTTAAGTAACGTTCGGTAAATATTACTGTAATTTCTTTTTTCTTGTCTCGTCTTTAAAATTTTTCATTCTGATCGTATTTTATTAAATTTGCAATTTTTCTTTTCTATATAATGCAGCTTAAAAGTATTTCATAATAATTAATAGATATTATTTTTTGTAGTAACTTAATATTTGTACTTTTCCTATTTCTTTATTTTTATATATTTTATGTAAATGTAAAATCACGCGTTTAAATTTAATTTCATTCCAATGTTAAATAGAGATTTGATAAAAATAATTAAAAAATTCAGTTGAAAAGTGCATCTCTGCGAACTGGACGATTTATATGTCAGGCCATTGTATCACTTGATTGCATATTAATATAGTTTTCTTTTTGTTATAGGTGACCATCGTTGGATTTATCATCTACTCGTTTTGATTTTCTTCTACTTTTTAAAATATATATGTATAAAAAACGCATTTCTGAAGGCACACACATATTTAGACACTAAAAATTAAATATAATTATTTTTAATTTATTTACAATATAACAATACTATATATACTATCAAAGAATACAGTATTCTTTGATAGTATTGTATCGTCATCGCGTTAAGTACCTACTATCGCCTACTGATGGTCCTGGTAATAACCAAGATGAATCTGGGTAGATAAAAAAGGGAACTGGTGAAATTTTATATACCTCTGTATTCTCTGCTTGAAAATGACTTAATACCTTACCGACATCTGGTAACTTATCAACGCGCAGTAGAAATTGTTCTTATCGACGTATCGAAATTCAATAATGTTTTATTTTTCCGAATATAGTTTTTATGAAAATTTTTCGTTTTTTTAAGAAGACACACCATCAAATTCAATTGGAAGATCTTTGACGTGCGAAGTAAATGTAAAATAGACAAACATGACATCAAAATCTTGTCTTTTAGTTAAAAAAGTATCAGTTTTCAAAAAAATCAGGATATTCTAGTCGTTTATTTTCTTGAAATACTTTTGATAAAAGCACAAACATAAAACTCGACATTGTAATATATCCTCGTCGTTCCAACCTTCTGTATGCTCGAATCGTGGGATTTCTGTGGTAGAAAAAGAATGAAGGAGAAAGATAAATTGGATGAAAGTGCAGAGGGGGTGTGTGTGTGTGTGTGAGAGAGAGGGAGTGAGAAAGTTTATGCGCATTCACGAAAAATATTCCCTTGGCATGCATAATCAGGATAGAATACACTTCCATTAGGTTTGTATCATCCATTCGCGAACACTTTCCGGAATGACTTTTGTATAATAAAATTTTTCTTAAATCTTCGTGAAAATACCTCAGACACCTCATATTTGTCAAAGCAAAGTTCGATCCCTTAAGTCGTGAAACATAACGTGATTCTCGGTTTCAACGATGCTCGACAGTGTTTCCTTCGTAACTGTCAGAAGTTCATCGTTTTCGCGTTTAACGTTGATAGCTTTCGAGGATCAACCGAGCCATGTGGTGAGAATGTAAGTCGTGCGAGAATATTTAAACGAAGTATGTTGGAGAAAATGTGGTATAAAGTCGAACACGAGTAAACGTACCGGTAAACTCACCTAACTTATATTCAAGTAACCTTTAGTGTGCGAACGTATATACACGCTTGCAGTTTTATGAATGTGCCCGTATTAAGTTGGACTATTATTTTTTCTCAGCGCAGGTTTTTTTTTTTTTTTTAATTATCATTAAGGTTAAATCTACAATGCGCGGTCACAGGTGAACGTTTTTTAAATTTCCTACATAATAGAATTTCTTGCATACGACGTTATTGTATAGTCATTTAATTTGAAAAATAAAAATAAACGAAAATAAATTAAAAATGAACATTTTTCGTTATAAAGATTGAATAGGAATAATGTAATAATTTTATTGATATAGTAAACAAAAACCAATTCCAATTCTATACAAGTATAGTCAAATAAATTAGTTTTATCAAAGAAGGGTTACAAACATAATGCTTAATACAATAAATCTACTCACCCTTGATAAAATCTACCGCCATTTCTAGGCCATAGGTGTCCTTATCGCAGTCATCGAGTATATGTGCTCCTATTTTGACCCCTGGAACGATCTCTCGTTGATTGAGCGTGTCCAGAGTGTAGAGCATAGCTTCTAATGCTTGGACACCACCCTGAGGCATAATAGGACCACACTTCACTGAATCCTCTCTTTCGTGAACCATCATTAAACCTCCTAAAACGAGGTCACCCTCAACCACTGCGCTATGTTTCACTGGCCACGGTGGTTTATTCGTTGAGTTATGATCATCGTTAATCGATTGTTTGTTCACCGAAACATTGGCTATCGTTGTCTTTTCCAAAGAAACAGTAGTCCATTCTGAACTTGCACTCGTCATATTTTCTACTATTTTATCCGATGTTGTATTGTTCTCATCAATCGATATAGTTGTAAAAGTATCTATCGTAGTCGAAGGAAATGTTAACTTCCGAGAATTATTATCGATCCACTGAGAGGTTAAAACGTCAGCAAGAGAATAAGTAAACCCTTCAATCTCGGTGCTAGAAAATGATCGATCGGTCGAACTACTCGGAATTCCGCTCGTCCTTTTTGATTTTTCCGTCATGGAAATATCCGTCGTTCCCATAGAATTTCCTCGAGGGGAATAAGTTTCAAAGTTTTCTTCTTCGGTTATTGTGATTGAATCAGGGAGTTGGTTTCTTACCGACCTAGTGAAGTTTGTTGACAAATTTATCGTCGGGTCAGTACTACTTTCGATCTCCTCAGTTGATTTAGAACGTTTCTTTTTTGATAATAAAAATAATGTATTTGATTCGATAGATTCTTCTATTATTTCGTACTGTTCTTTCGCGTTTGTGGTTGCTTCTTGTTCGACCTCTTTTATCTTATACGAAATATCTTTTAAAGAAGATGGAAAACTCGATGTGAATTTATTTTCGATTATTGGAAACTTCATTGTCTTAACTTCCTCTTTATAGTCGCTTACCTTAGAATTTGTTCTTTCAATAGTTTCTTTTCTTTCATTCGAGATAATATTTGGTAACGTTAATGGCGTCAATTTTGGAAGATCGTTGAACGAAATGGTCGTATCTTCTACCATTTGTTCTTCGTCCTTTAACCAGAGTTTTCTTTGGGAATCTTTACTTTTTATCTTCTCCTCGTGGTAACGCCTTTTTTCCTCCCTCTTCCCCTCCTCCTGCTCCTCCAGCACTTCCTTCACTTTCTTCATCTCATGTCTGTTCCAATCGCTACTTGGATCATTCTTTAGTTCTCCTCCTTTCGTATCCTTTGGAAAATGAGAAGTAGGATAGTCGAGCGACCTTGGACTAACGAAATCTTCAAGAGGATCGCGTACGTTTCTTTGAGAGTCCTTGAAAGACTGAACTCGTGCGCCGCTTTCGAGGATGGACATCCTTCTACTCGAATTTAGCCGATCCGATTCGGACTTCGTATCGTATTTCCGATATTCCTTCGAATTCCAGGATACCATGTTATCCTTGGAAACATTCACGATTCCCGAAGATGTTACTTCTATTTCTTTATCCTCTCTATCCCTCTTCTTAATACTCGGAGGAACAATCTTTACGGTTTCCTCCTCTTTTTCCAAATAATTTATCGGAGGCGAAAGGAGAATCGTTTCTTCCCCATTTTCTTTCAGATCTAAACTTACATTTCTCATTTCTTTGCCCGTAACATTTGTCACTTCCTCGTGCGAAAACGTATCACCACCCTGACCTTCCTCTTTCAAATAGTTTCGTGATCCTTCCGTAAGATCAAAGTGTCCTGTCAATTCGAAAAATTCTTTACTCGAACGAATTTCTTCTTCCATGACTTTCCTCCCACCGTCCCCCCATCTTTTTGATTCATCTTGTTTTTCTTTGGAAATGTTCACCTCTTCTTTTTCTGAATTTAAATCCAAATATGCTGTTTCATTTATTTCTTTTTCATTCTTATCTTCACTCAAATTTCTTCTTCCTTTTCCTCCTCGTATTGTTCCAACTTCTTTGTTCTCAGTTTTCTTTCTCAAACGAATTTCTATTGCATCTCCCATTACTTTTCCTTTTTCTTTTTCTTCTTCTTCTAAGTCGGAATTATCTTGGTACCAAAGACCAACCGTATCTTTCGAGACTTCTTCACGATCAGATGACATCACGGAAACTTCTTCTTCTTCCTCCACTTCTCGCGTTTTCAACTTAATCGTCTCTTTTGTCGGATAAGGAACAGTTGCATCATTTGAAAACTTATCGACATTTCGGCGATCTCGAATCAAACTTTTTACGTTATTTTCATTTAAATACTTTCCTTTCTTCGTATTCTTTCGCAGATCTCTTACTTCGTCATTTCCATGAAAAGAATTTGTTTCCTTTTCTCCTATTTCATCTGCGTATTCTTCTTTCGGTCTTACGATTATACGAAATTTATTTTCCTCGCTAATCCTCGAATTTGATTTTGTTTTGTCGTTCGTCTTGAAAGAAAATTTCCGTTCTTTTTGTTCTTTCATTAACAAACTCTCAGACGAATTAGTCGATTTAATTAAATTTTGATTTTCTATAAATCCAAATGATTCTTTCTTATATTTTAAATTTTGAATTTCATCATTTTCGTATAATTTATCCTTGTTCCAGGTTTCATAAGATTTTTCCAAAATTTGTTTTATTTTCCTCTGATCGTTCGCTTTGAAAAATAAACGAATTTCGTTTTGCCCGTAAATAATGGTCGAATTGTATTTCCTTCTTCTATCCATCGGATAAAAATAAAAATGTCTTTCTTTTTTCTTTTCAGGCAAGAACTCGTCGAGTTCGTTTAAAGAAAAGAATGTCTTTCGAGAAGGAGGCAGTACGTTAGAGTTCTCGCGGATGGATTCTCGCTTTATCCAGATACCGCGAAGAATCCGAGAGGATCTTGGTCCTTTCACCCCAAACCTCTCGGACTCCGTACCCTCCGATCTAGGTTCCTTTTTCCGATTCCTTGAAGTCCGTTGTTCGGTCATCGAGTTATTAGAATTCCGATCTTCCTCGGATCGAGAGGATTCCACGTTATTTCTCTTCTCTCTTCCTGTGATTTTCCTTCTATTTCTCTTTTTCGAACCTCTTGATTCAAGGTACTTTATTTCCTTCACTCCATCAAATGCATTCATTGGAATAATACTCGCTAATCCGGATTTGTTTTCTACAATCTCCTCCTTTTGATCCTTCTTCCATACTTTCTTTTGTTCCTTTTTCCTTTTTTTCAACCAAAAATATCTTTCCCTAGGTTCTTCGATTGTCCAATAATGATCTATATTTTTATCGGATAAGTCAATCTTGTTATTTGCGTAACTAGTTGTTACGATATAACTGGCATTCCCCTTATCAATAAAGTAACTTTTGTTATCGTCGTAATTGAAAGTCTTTTTTTCTTGTGCCAATGTAAATCGTAATATCGATAAAATCGTTAGGATCGTTCGAATTTTCAAGTTGATCGTCCGAGTGGCCGAAACGGCCGAAAATCCCTGATTTCGAGGCATCACCTCCTCACCGATGCGAACTCGTGCATTGCTTGATTTCTGAAAATATTAAAATCATTTTTAATAGAATTTATTCAAAAGTGTTTTTATTTTTTTTAATCATTAATATTAAATATAATGTTCAGGATAAATCTTTTTTAAAAGAAATATGATTTCCAATTTGTTTAACAATTAGAGTGAAACGTTCTCTTCTTTTTATTATCGAGGAATGAATTGAATTATTAATTATTACATCGTTTAGAACAAATAATGTTCGTGTTTTCGTTTAATCTAGGAAATTTCAACTAAATTCGTTGTCGAAGAAATTTGGCAACTCTCCTAATGGCGTGGGAATTTTCTTTTCAGTTACTTTCAGAATTAAATAATTTATAATTTTCTAATCTATTCTATCTCGAAATATGAATTCAAAAATACTACGATTTTCTGAAAATTTTAATTTTAATTGTTAATAATAAATAGCGATCTCAATAGGTTGAATGAAAACTGACGATTAATTCATAAAATGAAAAATATTTAAAAATTTTTATCATCTTTCTCAAAACTTCGTAAAAGTAACCAAAGTATCTATCTGAAATATTCGATATTGAATTATTTAAAAGAACTTTTTTTATTTTACAAATGTATAAAATTAAAATTCTATACATATATATATGTAATTTTGTATTTCTATCTTGATATAAGTAGAAACTTATCTACAAGTTAAATTGCCATCAATGTGCATATAATTTTAACTATACATTGAATATAATTTCGAACTTTGAAGGTAACTTATTGTTAAGATAAAGTTGCCAAGATAAATATTTGAAATAAGATAAACTTTGATGTGTTAGATCTTTTAGATCAATGATTTTCTAGAAGACAATATCGAATAGAAAGATCATTTCTAAAGCAATCCTCCTCCCATTCCTGTTCGTTTCTTCTTTATCCTGAGAAAAGAGCGATAAGGAGAAAAAGATAGGGAAAACGAAGGAGAGACAGAGACAGATAGACAGAAAGAGAGAGAGAGAGAGAGAGAAAGAGAAAGAGAGGGAAAGAAAGAGGAAGAAGAGATTTATAGAGCATCGAGTTACGTGTCTCGAAACGATGTAACTTGTTTCTCCGAGGAACTTGAAATATAACCAAGCGAAATTCGTGTTATTTATCGAAACTTTGTGGGTTTGAATTTCGTCATAGGAAACGTCGCTATAAACTGTCGAAGGGATTCCAAGTAAAGAGTCCTTCGTTGAATAATCAAAACGAACGTTCATAAAGTTTTAACTGGCTGAATGAACGAACGAACGAACGAACGGCAACTCGAATGATACATTCCGACCTATATACCACCTAATTGAACATGGCCAACTGGATAGATTGCTTAGACTCGACCATTTATTGCATTTAAATCTATATATGTGTATGTAGGAATACTATCAATATTATAGGAATCAACGAAACATATAGGTATCCATTTATTTCTTCGAACGAACAAATTTATTTTTTCGTGTTTGTTCGTATTTATTCATTGAGTGTCGTAATACCAAGCTTTACGAATTATTTTGTATTTATTTCTTTCGTTATCGTTTTGTAAGTATTAATCTGATAATCGAATAAATTATTCGATACTTTGTTATATTATTTTCAAGTAAGTTTTATTAGTTATAACTTTTTTTCAAATGAAATCTAGATGTCATGTAAAAGGTTTTTTATATATTTATAAGAAACCATAATGGACAGGCAACCACAAGCTTTATTGATTATAAATCGTTTTATAATTATTTATTTGATAATCGAATAAATATTCGATACTTTGCTATATTACTGTTGAGTAAGTTTTATTAGTTATAGCTTTTATCAAATAAAATTTAGATCTCAGGAAAAAGGGTTTTTATATATTTATAAGAAACCATAATGGACAGGCAACCAAAAGCTTTATTGAATATAAATATATTGTACAACGAAAGTTGCTGACGTCGATATGTTTCATCGATACAAAGGGTCATCCAAATCAAATAGTTATTTATCAAGGTTTGTTGTTGATATTCAATTCGATTAATTGCATCGAATCTCAAATATCTTTATTTCGCTCTTCTAAAAATTAAATTCAAGTGATTTACAATTACGATTTATATTAAACTAATAGAATATACAAAATTCTGATATTTATTTAATAATTTTATTTTTAATTCAATATTAACACAATGAACGCCGACGCTCACGTTGCTTGTCTTACAAAAAAACAGATAAAGACTTGTAAATTAATTTTTGAGTAATTGATAGTCTGATTCTACTCAACATATTATTTTACGTTTTGTCAAAAAATAAATAATGACAAATAGAATATATCAACGTTTAAAGTATGCTTACATATTGTAAAAAAAAAGAAAAAATTCTGCAATAACGCAGGCCGACGTTCGATGTGTTAAAATATTTTTCTTATTTATTTATTAAAAAGAAAAAAAGAAATTGTAATTAAAGTATAAAATGTTATATTTTCGTAAGATAGCTGATCAACATTTTGATTTGAGATGATCTTATCTAATATATTATCGCATTAATTACGTCTTGATATTTATAGTAATCCGTTGGTTCGTCATCAATTAAACCGCGAACATTTAGAAACGACACTTTAATCTTATCCGTAAATTCCATCTCTCGCGATGAGAAACGTCGACGACGTGAGAGCAACGCGAGCTGGCTGATCGATAATATTGTACGAGGTGCTTATTCCGGCAACATAATTTGCGGCCGAATCACACATAATTTTAATTACTTCGACGGTAATGGCTTTGCATATATGGTATGGTATATGATCATCTACCACGAAACCTGACAAGCATTATCGATTGCAAGTAATTATGTCATGTAAAATGAATTTCACTCTGATCGTGAATATCTTTTAAAATGAAAAATCAACTTCAATTGAATATAATTAAACTTTCCAACTTTGTGTCTGCAAATTACAATTAATATCGACTATTGAGATTCGTATGTTTTTTTTTTTGTTTTAATTATATAAGCTAACTCTAATTATATATTAACTTTATGGGTTCGCGTAAATTTCAACTCATATATTAATATATGGATGTTTTATTAAATCATTTCATTTTTGTCCACAAAATAAAGATTTGAAATTGTTTCCAAGCTACAATATTTATTCATTATAATAAAATTGTTGAAAGAGTATGCAATTCATTGTCTCTATTTATAAATTGATATTTGTTGATCTAACGTGTAACATATATTATTTTATAGTCGAGAAAAAAATCGACCCATACCTAGAGGGTTAAATTGTTACACATCATTTACATTTTACTTGTAATCGATTGTGGTATTATTGTGATTTGTTAATTTATCTTATCGTTAAATGAATTATTTAATACGTAACTATATCTCTTTATTAAAATATTTAGATAAAATCGAAAATGTGTGCGTGTTAATTTATAATAACAACGGAAAATGAAATAGATGGATTTTAAATTTCGTTTTAATACGTTATAAGGATAAACTCGTTTGCTTCGCTAACATATCTCGAATTTCATTTCCCTGTGAAAACTTTGGAGGGAACTTATCTTCTCGCGTATATAGAAAAAAAATCCTTAAATTCAACATGATTTGCAGGAGAACAGGATGGATGAAGAAGAGAGGAGGAGAGGATTCGCGGGTTTAGACGAGAGATGGTAGAGAAGTCTCAAACTCTTAAGTTTTTCGCACATGCTAGGGCGTTGGATGAGTGATGAATGGCGAATTATACGGAGAAGAACTTTCTTTTTACGCTTGTGTGCTTTATTTAAAACTGTATATTACTTCCTTGTATATTCCTTGATATCATCTTTTGTAATAACGAGTTTTATTACTCGACGAAGAACTAATTAATATCAGAAAAAATTTATTTACTTCGCCGTTCACTTTTAGTATATATAAAGTTTTGCAGTACTTTAAAATATAACCGATGCACAAATTACTCTTTCACGGACAACTCTGTTTTAAATGTTTCAAAAGATACATAAAGTTTTCTTTTTTTATTATTCATCGCGATGATAATTATATGGAACGAAAGTAAAATCATTTATTTGTATTTTCAAAAAGTAAAAATGGATATATTTTCAATTTTATTATGATATTTATTATTATTATTATTATTACTATTATTATTTTTATTATTTCCTTTTTATTACGGCAGTAGAGGTAATGACAATTTTCTGCTGGATTTAATTATTCTTTCTTTATGGAGTTATCAATCGAAAAATTTATTTTATAAATTTGTTTAATGATTTTTTTCTTCTCTTTTTTAATTAAGAATAAAGTATAAAATATAATTTGACGAAAAAGGGTCTTCTTATCTTCGATGTTGCTCTATGACCTTCTCATTTCCCAGATATACGATTTGCAAATTATGCCAACGTATATTATTACATTACCCACGGATAATAGCGAATAGTAAGGGAAAGTAATGTAATAAAATTTAACGACTATGCTAGTTACTTTGTTCATTCCCGTCGAGACCTAGAGAACCCTTGAGTCCTTTCAGTTCTATCTCCATACTTTTTTCTTTTCTTTGTATTCCTCGTTAACTCATTGAATCATTTCAAACAATACGTAAAGAATATAATTGAGTATTCTGAATTACCTATCGTAAGTAAAAAGAAGATCATAGACATTGAACAAAATTTTCTTACAATCAGTATAATTATACAGAATTTAAAGAATAATTAAATATTTAATTAATACAAAATATAGAAAGAATTTAAAAACAAATTAAATTATCATAAGTTGTATTGCAATTTTTTTTTCTTTCTTTTTTATCGGAATAATAAAAATAAGATTAATTATATATATATACAAGTTTAAATTTAATTAAAATGAAGAAAATCGATCTGTTTAATCAAAGCAAGATTAGGATCTATGAGTGATCATTCAACAAGCAAAGAACCCGTTTCTTTTTCCCAAACTTTTTGTAGCCACTTGAAACAAAAAAAAAAAGAAGAATGATTGTGAAGACCATCGAAAAAGGAGCCTTCGAGAAGTTTGCAAACATACCGTTTGTAAGACATAGCAATGAG